AATAACGTGAACAGTGATAAGGATCACTAGCATTTAGGGACAAACTTTATTTACAATTTCTAAATAGTAATGACTTTAAGCAGGAATCAAATCCCATGTACTCCAAGCAAAAAAAGGACATATTTAAAGGCCTTTTTACTTTTCTAATAGTCATGGCCTCAGAGCAAAATCTAGGGTAGGTAATTATTCACCAACTGTATAGACAGACAAGGCACAGTATGAAATCAGGGACAAACTCTTGAGTTAACAGGGGTGGCAATTATTTTTTTCCCCACAGATGGAGTTTCTTAGATGAGAGTATAAATTGGAATTTAGGTAGGGAATTTCAACACTGGAGAGACTGACTGAGAAAAAGACTGTCCTTATATCCATGTCTGTTCTTAGCCCTAAAAGCGAAATTTTGCTTGTTTTGGAGGGACAAAGAAACCTTTTTGGTGTTATTTCACATGCTGGTTTCCTTGGTGGAACTAATTGTTTACATGTTTCTACAGTTGGTTAGTTAAGGAAGACATCATAGTTAACACAGCATTGGAAGTACTTTCCTGACTTCAGATTTTGCTGCACTCTAAGGTTTCTTTGGGGTGTGGAAGAGTATGATTGGTACTTCTTGAGGATTTGTCTTAACCTCCTTGTCTACAATATTGAGTATTTTTAATAAAGATTGGATTAGGAACTTAATAGGGGCTTTCAAAGACTTGCCTTTGCATAGGGCTATAGAGTTCAGCTAAGGAAACAAATGATCTAATTGCATTCTTTGATGCTAAAATGCCTCCATAATAGGAGTAGCAAATAGCATATGCCACCACGGAGTGAATTTGCTTAATGCTTCCAGAACTGACTCAATTTACTCTTATTTAACAATCATAACAGGGGTCAAAAAGCTACAAATAGAGCCCCTAACTAATCATTTATGCCCATCCATGTTTTCCTTAAGTATTGAATTGTCATTTGCTTAGCAGGTAAAGGATCTTGCACAAGTCACGTAGTGATTCAGAGAATAGAGGAGACTGCTCTGAAAGAACACAAAAGCTAATGAAACATCTTGCTCAAATATTACATTTTTTATGAACCAAGGAAGCTTCCTTTATAGTGACTCACTGATGTTGACATTCCTGTGTAGTCTAAGCAGAAGACTTTTTGTGGTTCAGTACAAATAAGAATGTCTCATAAAGCTCCAACAGGTCCAGTTGAAGCCTGGAAAAGTGGCATTTATTAAAGAACAATTCCTACCCATTCATTTTGCACTAGAACTATATACCAGAGCGGTGCCCACATGATTAGTCATCTAAAATAGGAAATGAAATCTGGTAAGAATGGTGTGTATTCAACATGCCTCTCGAAGGAAGAACCCTCATCCCATGTGCTTGCTCTGGGAGTGTATTTCAGTGGTAAGTCAAATTTTTGACCAATCTCTTCCTCCAAAGTGAAGCCTTAAATGATTCATGTGTCCCTGAGTACAAGGCAGTTTTGTAAAAAATAACCTGATAAAAAGGGCAAATATTCAACCAATACTAGAAATTGCAGTGTAACTTGTAATGTTTTGAGTTAAACCCCTCTGTTAGACAATACAGTATCTATTATTAATGTAAATCAAACTCATATATTATGGCAGGAACAGAGGGTGACCCAGGGTTAGATTTACTTTAAAAAGTACCTGCAGCCAGGGATAATTTTGAAAAACTCATTTTAAAATACACAGATATAGTAGGTCCAATAAATAAATCTCTATAGTCTAGAAAACCAGAAAAACTTAACTTAATATATAAAATTATCCTTTCAAATAAATTAAGCCTTTTGGGAAGTAGAAACTCATGTGACACCACAAGATATGATGATTTGTTTAGTTTATGCATGACCTTTTAAAATACCCAAACTTGAGTTTTCAGGTTAACAATAAAATGTTTATAAGGAATAACGCATTGCATGGATATGAGTTCATATTAAAAGACACTAATTATTTCAATTTCATAGAATGACATCCATATAAAAATATGAGGTCTATTATGTTGGACAAGGAAGGATTAGTGTTTTTCTAGGGTCCCCAAAGTTATTGGTAAATGTCACGTTAGGAGCTTATCTTAAAAACAGAAAAAGCATTAAATGAAATTAACATTTAAGTCTTGGGCCTTTGAAAATGTTGTCTAATGGTATGACCAGGATAGTTTTCTTAAATAATTTTGTTTTTACATAGCTGGTACAAACTTTGTTTTCCTTCTTCAACCCTCAATAGTTATAATACTAGCAGAGGTGCCTCAAGAATCCAATGGAATAGACATATTAGAAAATCTTCAAAGTTGCTCTTTAAAACAAACTTTTTGAAACTCATAGAGATCAAGGTGATACTTGAGGTCTTTCCTTGTGTTCTTACAACCAATAAAGAAGGCCAGTGAGCTGTATATTCATTACCTAAGAAGTATCACTTCTCTGAAAGCCTGCATCTATGCAGTTTACTTTTATTTGCAGAGGTCAGTTAGGCAATTTGTCAAAGATGGTGTAGAAAATGAACTCTCCTCAGGTTTTTTGTTTATTTGTTTGTTTGTTGTTTTGTTTTAGTTATTTTATTAGCAGCATTGTTCAGGATCACAGGGTTGGCTCTGTCTTACAATTTCAGAGTTTCTTGAATTACCCTTCCAAATTTAGAGATTGTACATTTCTGCCAACTTGGCCCATCTTGTACTCTGCAACAGTTTCTTAGAGATTTTTTTTTCCAATAACTTTAAACATGATTTCAACAAAGTTAAGTTAGCCATTTCAGGAAAATATTTTTCACTGTTTGTTCTAAATTTTCAAGACTAAGGTAATAATAATATTTCACCTCATGAAGTTGTATAACACAACCTGACAAGATCTAGGGATTTCCAGTCTGTTCACCTGTCTCGTTTGAACAGGAATCAAGAAGTAAGCAAATGACTTTAATATTCTTATCTCTTCCTGAAGAGTTCTCCTGGCTTTTTAGAAGTATTCTAGAAACTCTTCCTGAGCTTCAGTGTGCTAGAATACAGGTATTAAGGGAAGAATGGGCTGGTTATTGAGTTTCTGATTCTTTGTCAACCTGAAATTCAATAAATAAATGGATAGTCCCTAATTGTTTTTATTTTTAATATATTTTATCTTATTTTATTTTGCTGGGCTGACATAATTCTCCTGTCTCAGCTTCCCAAGTATCTAGTATTATAGGCACACACCACTTTTCCCCATCACCTTTGATACTTTTAAATGTTTTTGTTTTCTTTCATCTTATTTGAAAGTAACCATGCCTGCTCCAAAACAAGTCAGTGAAATCATGAAGAACCATCCTTACAATGATAATTGAGATACTAAGTACACAAGACAGAAGTAAATGATTTAAAAATTGTCATTTAACATTGGAATTAGCAAAGCCACCAATATTCTTGGAGATGAAACTTAAATGTCCTATTGGCTGAAAAATCTTGTCTAACTAGAATAGATTGTATCAGACATGGAGATGTGAGCCAATGGTAAGTTGCTCATGGAAGGTTAAAGCCAACCCTAAGGGTAATTGAACACCAAAACAAAGGGCATATTCTATCAAAAATGCCACCTAAGATCTAGAGATGGCATATAAGAACCAGAAAACCTAAACTGATCTTATGTTTAGTCTATTTAAATCCAAGAATGTTTTTTTTCAGAGTTTTGATGTACATGCAGAAATGCAATAGAACCTAAGTCCTAAGTCCCACCTGTATGTACATGTTTACTATAGACATCCCAGTTTGACGGTTCTGTGCTGATGTTACAGGGCAGCTGGATTCTCCTTCCTTTAAACTCTTCAAAAGTCAGCACGTCTCTGAAATTTGAGTTGCATAAAGGTACAGCAACACTCAAGGAAAGCCTTTGAGGATTATATAAATGTGGGGCTCTGCCTGGAAAGGGAAACCACTTTGGAATTTTATATAATTCAGCCACACTATTAAAGAAGAAACCAAATATCAGGCAGTATTTCTTGCACTGGTTTTTGCAAGAGGAAAAGTTTAAGATTACCTGCCTGCTTTTTAACATGCCCTGGTGTGGTATATATCATAAAATAATGCTACTAGTGTACAGCTTAATGTTTAAAACACAGATGCTTTTAAGTAACAGGCTTTCTTAAACTCTTCTAATATCTTTCATATTGACTGCTGTAATGATACTTGAGAATAAAGTGGAACATGTTGAACTCTCAGGATTGGTTGCATACACATCATAGGTGAAGTCAAGAGGGACTCAGATGAATGAACAACTGTATTTTGAGATCCATATGCTAAATACACAGCACATCCATGTGGACTTAGATCAGGATTTCATATGGCAACAAAAAGCAGAACTTGGATATTCTAGGAATCAAATTACTACCATTTTTATATGCTTTCATTTAAAAACTACCTTGAAACTAGGAAAAGGACTTTGTTTTGGTAGATGTATCTAACCTAACTTAGGAAGGATAGCCTTAAAAACAAATACTTGCTGGTCAATTTGTATAACTGTATGAAGAGAAGGCATGAGGGATTGTTGGAAAAGGTATAAATAATGTCGGACTGTTGGCTTAGTAATCAAGTGGATCCATGACTAACAAAGTGTTTTTCCCCTGCAAGGATTAAACATAATATCCATTGTACATTTAGATAATAAATATAAAGTAAAGCTCATGAGTTTACTGGTTTTTGTATCTATTCCACAATGGTCATCCTTGAATCGCTGCCCCAACGACACTGTAATAAAAATATTCTGGAGGCTTCTCTGTCAGTAGTTTAATCTGTTTTAAATATTAAAAACTCTAAAATTTTTCATGTTAGTTGTTCATTTTTTAGGACATTTTCTTCCCTTGGATCTAGGGTGAAAGGGAAAGATCATGAAACATAACATTATACTTTATCATCTAATAATACAGAATATAGTTTTTAATTTTTAAAATTAATTTGTCCCATTCACCTATTCTAGTTATCTGTGAGTCTTTTTGCTTTTTAAATCTCCCTTCCCTTTTCTCTTCCCCTTTATTCCAGGTTACTCCATTTTAAACTTAGACATACAAACTCTGGAGGGAACCCTTCTGCCAGCGTCACGGTGGCATGGTGTCTCCAGCATTATCATAGCCACTTAGTAGGTAGCTGACTGAGCTTCTGCTAAAAACCTGGTGAATTTCATCCACTGAAGAAAGAATTAAGGTGACAAAGGCAGGTGTTGCTCATGGTTGGCCCTGTGGGTAATGTCTCAGGGTGTGATGGGAGGTGGGAGGAAGAGTTTGGCAGAGATCCATCATGTCCCCATAGGCCCTCGGGTCAAGCAGGACTTTTAGTGTGCTCACACATGCCACCCACTAGTCAGTGTACCAGGCTGAAAGTGCCCAGGTATCTTCTTGTCTGGATTAAGTGAGAGCCCTGACATTTGAGTTCAGTCTTCAGTAGTTTATAAACTGCTCATCTTGTACCCATAAGGGCTCTCCCCACCCACCACACCTCCTGTTAGATGACTTCAGTCCATTGGCCATTTCCCAGAAATGCTTTGCCTCACTATACAAACTTGTTCACCATGTTCCCAGCCACATATGAGGTCTAAAGCCCAAAGAATATGGGGCAGGGAAGCTTTTGCCAAGTCCATCTCACCCTTCAAAAGCCATATTATCATTTCTTTTAGAATAATGTGTTCCTAATAGTATTTCCTCAGAATTAATGGGAATCACTCATTGTCCTGTTCCATAAATGAGTTGGTATCTGTCTTAATAGAAAAAGAAGGAGCTAATGAGATGTTCGGCTCAAGATGGTACATAACATGACCTTGGGTTCAATGATAAATTCATTACCCTGACAATCTCTCTTCCTTCAAAAGAGACAATAGCATATAAAGGAACAAATACCAGATCATGAAGGAAGTCAATGCCTCATAATCTTGAAGTGCGAAGGTCTGGTAAAGCTGTGTTGGAGTATACTCTACACTAGAGCAGAAACCCCATTATCCTTTCCATCCCAATTGTCCTATCCAGCTCAGCTGAGATATGCAGAGAGAATGTACCATAGCCTAGTTGAGCCATGTCCAGATAGTGCCTAATGTGAGGGTAACCCTGACAGAGCATAGCCCCAGTGATCTATACCAGCAATATAAAGCAACGAAAGAAGAGTGATTGTTTGAACCTCTGCAGTTCCCATAAGCCAAAACTTCAATGTTGTCACTTCCTTCTCTTTGTAGAAGTGAGTTAAAGGAGAAAGTTGGATTCCAGTTTTCCTATTCTGTTACAGGATCTCATACTTGAGAACTTGGGTGGAATTTAATTTCTTCTCCCACAATGAGTGGTTGGGATATCCAAGAAAAGATGAGTGTACTTTCTACTGTCAATTCAACCATAAGCTCAGGTGTCCATGCCCACATATTGGAAGACCCCAGGGATATGCCAACACTTACCCTCCCCTCTTTCTTAGAACCTCAGAGAATATAAAAAGGGATTCTAGAATCAACCCCAGCTTTTATTCATTTAAGTGTATTAACTTATACTCAGCTCTGCTAGGAAGTGAGAGCCTATTCTGATTAGAAAAACTATACTACCTTTTTCCATTCAAGAGGAATTAAGCATGCAACAAGAGTCTTTTACTCAAAAAAAAAAATGAGTGAAATAAAATTGGAGAACTAATCATAAACTTAATTCTTCAGTTCAACTTGTGAACATTGGCCAGATATTCCCAGTGAGTGGGTGTACTGCCTAATCTAGAGATAGACCCTGATGTGGGTGCCTAAAGCCTCTAAAATTCAGCTCCTTCTGAACACTCATCATGATAATGACTATTCTTTAAGTTCTATTAAGAGATATTCTTAATTTTAAAAAGGTCATAATGAGTCAAAGATATTGAAAGTTGCCAATTCCAGAACTTAGACTTTCTATCATCCTGGGTGGGGGTCTAAATACTGAATAATAGAGAATGTACCGAAATAAATTTAAATTCTCTGATCTGAGATTTATATCTCAGACCTAACTAAAGCAGCTAAACCAATGGGCCACTTTAACCAACTATGCTACCCAGACAAAAAATAATCTAATCTAATGACATATGGTTAGACCATGTAAAATCCCTCTTCTGTTTTGGTTCAGTAAACACTTGTGAAATACCATGTTCAAAATACTTTGCTAAGCTGTCTTTTGTTTCAGCTACTAAATGGAGGGCATTTTTCTTTCTTTCTTTCTTCTTCTTCTGTGTGTGTGTGTGTGTGTGTGTGTGTGTGTGTGTGTGGTGTACTAGGGATTAAACCCAAGGCTTCATGCAAAAACTATGAATGAACTACATTATCAGACCTGAGGTATTCGGTCTCCATATATTGGGCTTTGTGCAGTCTGCTTAAACATAGTTTTAAAAACTAACATATATAATATCCAAGAATAGAACAGGAGAGTCTCATTCTAAGATGTAGATGTTTCCTGGTAACAAATATTTCCTGGTACTAAATCTACTATTTAATAATTAGACAAGTCATACACTTTTTCTAACCCTCAGTTTCTTAATCTTTTCTTTCCTAATATTAATTAATTTATTTATTTGCTATGCTAGGCATTGAACCAGGATCTTGTGCTTTCTAGGTAAGAGTTCTACCACTGAGCTACCCACCCCTCAACCCTCCTAATCTTTTGACTACATTATTCCCTAGATTTCTTTCAACTCAATAATTGTCTGACCCACTTGGTATTTCCTTAAGGGAGCAAAGAGTTGTTATAGATCATGAGAGTTTAAACTTGTCAGTATAAAGGAATCACATGGAAATATTTAAAATATATGATGTTTCTTTCCCCAGAAATTCTGATTTAATTAGTCTGGGTGTGCATGGACTTCAGTGTTTTAATAAATCCCAGTAAAAGTTTCTTGGGTGAGCTAAAGTCTCATTGACAATGATGTAGACATGGGTTTAACTTAAGATCCATTAGAAATCTCCTCTGAGAGGTAACTTAAGAGAAGATTGTGTTCCCAAAGTTCTGTTCCCATCAGGACCTACATTCTGTAGGCACTGAACACAGAATTGGGAAGAAGGTGATTCTCACTTTGGCAAACCCTCTCACTTTTTCAACTGGATAAATCAACGAAGTCCTACTCCTCCCTGTGTTTCTACTTAATAGCCATGTATTCATTGTTTCTTGTTCTGAAAGTGTTTAAACACCTGAAGTGGAAAAGCTATGTTGGATGCAGTGCAGCTTCCATGGAACACACGCCCAGCTTCCATGAAACCTACCTGTGGTTCAACCAGAGCAGCCATTTATCAAGCACTTCCTACATGAGGCATGGGAGTCCCTATTTAAGTTCCTGTTGGTTTTTCTTAACAGCTCAGCAAGCTATATTTCCACTTAGAAGATGAAAAAATAAACTTTGAGTGAGTCACCTCAAGCCACAGAGCTGGACAATAGTGAGTCCTGGGCAGATGGGACTCCCAAGCTTCTTAGCTGCTATTCTATCTCACAATTTCCCTAAATTAGCCATCTGAGGAACTCAACTCTGGTTTGACTTAGTTCTAAAAATAGGCAAAAACTTTGGTTCAGTGTTTTAAATGATAAATCTTGCAGGGTGTACTCCAAGAGTTAAAAACAATGATATGTACTTACTGTAAATTCATAACCATGTATAACTGATTGACACAAGCATGCCCTATTACTGAGGCCCCTGTTACTGAGCAGTGTCAGCACTTACAATAATATACTCCAATGGCTCCTTTTCAGCATTTCCCAGCTTAATAGCCTGCAGAAATCTTATTTCTGCTCAATTTTGCCTTTGCAGGATAGAATACCTACCTTCCTAAACATTTAGGAATCCAAATGGTTAAGGGAAGAAGGCTTTGCAGAAAGGGTCAGAAACAGCCAAACTTTGCTACCCCATTTTAAGCAATGTGTCTTGTTGTCAAAAGATTACTGCAAAGATAGTGGTGAAGGCTGTTTGCTGCCCTCTTGGACCTGAGGTCTGTCTTAGAGGTTAATATTTCACACATCCTATTCAGCATTCAACTAAGGCAGACATAATGTTCCAAAGAACAAGAAAACATGTCCTCTGTCCTGTACAAAGTACTGGGTGCCCTAAGTAAAGATATTTATGTGGCTTTGTTCTTGTGTCTCCTTAATTTCCTCCCCTCTGTCATTTTATGTGATTCCTTCTGAAAATTTAACTGGCATGTTAAAGTCAATGAGATTTTTGAGTTTTTGAAAATACAGGTTAAAACTAGTGGAATAAGGGGGGAAAAGGACAAGAAAAACATATAATAGAAAAGGGAGCACAGATTATACTCAGTTTTGAACTTGTCAGCTTATTAGGGATGTATGTTTTGTTGCTGCATCCATTTCATTGTTTATAAAATAGGGACACTGTTTGATAGCGCTTTCAGGATAAATGTTGTAAATGCTTGGTATACAGTTGTCCTTCTGTATTTATAGGAGATTGGTTCTAGGACCCTCCTTGTATAATAAAATCCTTGGATGCTTAAGTCAATTCTCTAAAAACAGGATAGTATTTGCATATAGCCCATGCAATCTTCCTTTATATATTAAATTGTCTCTGGAGTATTTATTATACCTAATACAATGTAAATGCTATATAAATATTTGTTAGAGTGCATTGTTGAGGGAATAATAATTTTAAAAAGTGTCTGTACATGTTCAGTACAGATGCCATGTTTTCCTAAATATTTTTACTCTGCAATTTTTGAACCCAAAGATGGAAACCAGAAGATATGGAGGCTGACAGTATTAGGTGTTTATTCCATTCCTCTAAACTTTAAAAACAGATGCAACCATCTGTGGAATGGCTTCTATTAAGTTGTTAACTTAAATTATCCTTTTATCAGCATTTTGAGACCAACTAAGCCAGTTCCTGCCTGCTCCATATAATTAAGATAGAAGGAATGCTTGGGGGTGGGGGACTGACAAACTTGTGTTATGATATTGTTTCGGAACCCTGGAATTATTCAAGTAGTACCATTGCTGATAGCAGTACAGTCGCACTGGTGAGAAGGATGAGCAGATAGAAAAAGATGTCAGCCAAATTTGTTCCTACAACGTCCAAGTTGACCATAGTCCACCATTCTAGCTTTTCTAGGGTGCAAATACTAAATATTTTCCATGAATCACTTTAAGAGCTAAACAAACCTTAGCTGGCTTTTTATTAGTGCAAAGGACATAGACATTCCAAGATGACTCACACAGTCTTCTGGTATACAT